GCCCCCAGGCACGCCCCGCCCAGGCTCCGCCCGTGAGACTCGCCCCGCCCTTGCTGAGCCTAGCCACCGCCCACACCGCGCTCCCCCGGCGCGCCCGCCTTGGTCCTTTGGGCTGGCGCTTGGAGGGTGGGTCTGTTCTCCGTGGCGTCCCAGAGGAGTCTTAGCGGGCTCCTCCTCAGTCCCTCCTCTCTCCGGATTGTGGTTCGCCCAGGCAGCGCGGAAGGAAGCGGCCAGGGCCGCCCTTGGGTGCGTTCCGATGAACCTCACCTGTTGGCTACTAGCATTGTCATCCTTTACTGTCCGTTGCAGTCGTGGGTTGCGCCCACCACCGACCATCGTGGTCCTGAGGTGTCACTCCCTGTTACCGGTGTTGGGGAGCATGCCATTCCCTCAGGCACGGGGGTGCTGGGGAAGGTCCGTGGTTGTGTTAACTCAATAAAATTGACTTATCTTGGGACCAGCAGTTAGCATAATGGCTATGTCACTGAACTCCCATGTAGTGGACCGCAGTTTGAGTCCCGACCCGGTGGCTTAAACTCACGTCGGGTGCTTGTGCTGCGTGTGTGCCCAAGATCCCGAGAGGAGAATGGAGAAGGGATTGCAGCCTGGCCATCCTCCCTTGGGGAGGGGGGTGATTTCTTGCTTTCTGTCTCTGTCTTTCTGGAGAGGGCAGGCGCCCTATAGCAAAAACCTCTCAAAAAAAGACAAACCAACTTATCTTAAGTTCTCGCTGGTGGTGTTGGGGTCTGTCTTTACCCATGTGGAATTCTGTTGAATAAACTTGTATTTTTTTAAGTTTTTTTCTTCTATGACAGAGATCAAGAGACAAAGCAGAGAGGCAGCCCCACAGCTAGCCTACGATGTGGGCACAGGAAGGCCCAGGACCTGAACTCAGGAATGTTTCATGTGGGTCCAGTTGTGTCACCACCTGGGCCCAATCAACTTGTTTTGATTGATTTAAAAATTAAAAAAACATTTTTTTAGGTTTTTTGCCATAAAGCATATGTGTGTGGATAGACAGGGATAGTGAGAAATCACCCCCTACCCCCCCCCCCGGGGGGGGATAGCCATACCATAATCCCTTTTTTTTCACTCTTCTCTCAGGATTTAGGGCATGCACCTGTGCCTGGTATGCTTTTCAAGCCATCAGGTCTGGGACTTGCAACTGTGGTCTGCCCTGTGGGAGTCCAGAACCATAACCACCATACCACCTGTTGGTCCTGTGGGATTTTTTTAATCTTCTCTTTTCTGCCATCACATATGCTCTGGAGAGAGAGAGAGGAAAAGTGAGAAATCACCCCTCTCCCCTGGCCCTAGGAGGGATAGCCATGCTGCAATCCCTTCTCTCCTCCTGGGATCTTAGGCACACATGCCCATTATGATTTTTAAGCCACCAGGTCCAGGACTTGAACTGTGATTGGCGGTGTAGGAGTCCAACACCTTAACCACCTACCTACTGGCCCCAGTCCCGTGTTTATTTACTCCTAAAATGACTAAACATACCCAGTTCTTGGTTCTGTGCCCTTGATGCCTTGAGAAACTGGCTGAGATCAGCAGCATCTTCAGCCTGGGTGGAAGTGGAAGGGGAGGTCATAGGACTCTCAGGTCAACATGGTCATGGAGAAAGTGTGGTGGGTTGGTCGGGGAGTCTCTCCTAGAGAGCTAAGGCTGATGGTTGACTGTAGTGGATTGATGCGTTGCGTGTTAGAGTTTCATATATATATATATATATGTGTGTGTGTGTGTGTGTGTGTATATTCATATATTTATATATATTCATCTTTTTATACACAAACACACACACACACACACACACACACATTTAGGTTGTTGGAAAAGTCATGATCTATTTTCCTGTTCTATGCAAAAATGTGTCATGACCCAATTTTTTTTTTTTTTAAGAGTTTTTTGCAATAGTGACAGAGAGACAGAAAGTGAGAAATCACCCACCAGGGGAGATGCCCATGTCATAGTCCCTTCTCCAGTCTCCTCTTGGGGTTTTGGGCATACATGCACACACGCCTGAGTGTTAAGCCGCCATTCACATCAGGGACTCCAACTGTGGTTGAGTCCAGCAATGTAACCCTTGTGCCATCTGCTGGTCCCCTAATATGTATTTTTTAAACTCAAATTCACATGCTTATGAGAATCTCACCCGGGTCTCACCAGGGTGTCCCTCTGTCCCCTGCTTTGCACCAGCCCTCCCAGTGTCTCCTTGCTGCCTGCTTCTGCCCTGGCTGTAGCCAGTGTCCTGCGTTTCTGTTTGTTCCATGTCCTGGCCCATGCATGTTTGTTTTGAACCACCCACATGATTTTTGTCAAAGAAGCTGAGGCATCCTGACTCTGGGCAATGGAGGGGCAGCTCCTAGAGGGATCCCTGGTTCCACCAAGTCATTGGAGTAGTCTCCCCCCCACCCCAATTGCTTGATGTGCCCCATGCTGGAGTCCACATTCTATAGAGGGAGCCCAAGCTCTCTGGGCAGGCATCCCAAGAGTGGGAGTGGATGGGGAAATGCCCAGGAAAGATACCTTCAGGCTGCCTGCTGCTGGAGCCTTCCATCCGGGGCCACTTCTCAGGCAACTCCTCCCTGGACAGAGCTACATCCCCACCCAGGGTCTCCAAGAATTGAGCGTGGGTGCAGCCCAGTGGCCTGTCCAGCGGCCAGCTTCTTACACCCACCCCCTTGCTAAAGCATAGCTGTGACAGGACTCCTGGCAAGAGATTGAGGGCATCTCGGGGAAGGAAAGGAGAAGCTGAAATAAAGGAATGCAGGCTGCTTTGAGCCCTTAGCTTCCTAGGGGATTAGCTCCTTAGGTCTGTACCATCAAATGATGTCAAGAAAAAGCTGAGCACCTGCATCTTGCTGGTGAAAGGTACAGATGGCACTGTAGACTGCCATCCCAGCTATTTTCTGATAGATTCAGAGGGGTTAACCTCTTTGTTTTGTTCAGCAGTGAAGGACTCCCAGAGTGCTGGTGACTGAGGTGACATAAGCTGTGGAGGTGGCACATGCCTTGGGCAAGGCATGTCTGCAGATTGGGAAGTGATCCAAAGACCTCACATACTTTACATACTGAGCTGCCCTAAAGCTGGCTCAATGTAAAGTTTTGTATCAATTCAAAATGTGTTTCCAGGCAACAAGAAACCCTGATTAGCTACTGCTCAGCTACTTTGCATATTCTATGAATTATGTAAGAATAAGATACTGTGTATTACTGCTGTTCAGGTAGGATTGTAATCGACTACTACATAAATGGTGCCTATGCTCACATTTGCTGGTTTTAGGGCAGCATAAGGAGACCCCAGCCGTTTCTGTGGTAAAGCTCTTGCCTGAAACTGGTTTCCCACAAAATCCCTTTGTACACTCTTAGCTGTGGTATTACTCTTAGCTATGAATGTTTTTTTATGTTTTTGTTTCATTTTACCAGTGACATATAATTACACGTAACCTATAGATATGTGTTTTACTAGGCTCCTAAAAATAAATTTAAAACAGATGGATTTTCTTGGATTTCTTCTAGATTTATTAAACAGATTTTTTTCTTTTGAATTACCATCCATGAGGACTCGGTAGATTTGCATTGCATTTTCTCACATGTGGATACTTAACAAGAGAAGTTAAAAATAAGTTGTCTAAAAATAAAATAATCATATGAGGGACTCTGGATTGCTGGAGAATTTTAAGAATTAGGTTGGTTAGTGACTTAAAAAAAAAAAAAAACAAGAATTATTTAAAGTCTTGCCTGTTAAAAATTGAGGTTATTTTGAGATGCAGTTTTGAGGCCCAGTTTTCTTCTCTTGCAGGAGGGAGTGAAGACAGAGAACGACCACATCAACCTGAAGGTGGCCGGGCAGGACGGCTCTGTGGTGCAATTTAAGATCAAGAGGCACACCCCATTGAGCAAGCTGATGAAGGCCTACTGCGAGAGGCAGGTGCGGCCCTGCTTCAGCTGGCACAGACAGGAGGCTCCACGGTCTTCCTGAGAGCCCACTTAGCACAGATTCCCAGGCACCCTGGGAGCATAGGTGTCCCAGCAGGACTCAGATATGTCACTGGACATGCTTTCCCTCTAGGGTCATCATGCTTCGTCTTCAACAGATACAGTGCACCTCTGTTTGGTTTTGTGAGCTTGCCTTCGGGTTAAGTCTTGCTGGATGTAGCCCTGGGTGTCCTGTAAGGTGTTTCCCTGTATTCCTATAAATTGACTGGTGGATCTCAAGACTTGATCAAAGTTTAGTGTGGATTTTTTTCCTGATGGGACAACCTGATGGACAGTGTGCATACTTCTGTCGGGAGGTACAGAGTGGCTACTGGCTTCTCTGGTGCTGATAGCTTTGGGGATCAATGTTTAGTTCTGTTGATGCCTTTGGCATTGGAAAATGATGTTTCCCAATGCAGTTCTGTTACTTCTTCTGCATGACAGTTTGTTTTCCAGTTTGTTTAGGAATGCATGATCCTTTTCCATTTTTAAAATTTATTTTATTTTTTGGAGAGGTTTTTGCTATAGGGTGCATGTGCTCGCCAGAAAGAGAGACAGAAAGCGAGAAATCATCCCTAAGGGGGGATGGCCACACTGCAATCCCTTCTCCTCCATTCTCCTCTCAGGGTCTTGGACACTCACGCACACGTACCCAACGTGAATTTAAGCCACTGGGTCCAGGACTCGAACCGTGGTCAACCACACGGGAGTCCAGCGACATAGCCATTGCGCCAACTGCTCGTCCTGATTCCATTTTTTAGCAGTTTTCAGAATGCACTGATTCTCTATATCCTCTAGTAGCAACCAGCTGATTTGGGCAGGTCTGGTTGTGGTTGGTGGTGTCACTGTGGTTCCTGGGTACATGGCTTGAGCTTTAGCCATTAGTTTATTTTGTTCTTATTAATGTTCAAGTGGACTCACCTTTGGCAAGTGGATACCCCCCCCCCATTCCTCCCCAAATTTCTGAGTCTTCTTGACTTCCAGGCCATGGCTTGATTGTGCAGTTTGGGCTGATGAGCCACATAGCTGTCATCTGGAGCCTCCTGTCAGAACCATTCTAGAAACTTCCTTCAGCTCCATCCCTTGTATTTTCTGGATTAATCTCCTTTTTTGATGACGTGTGTCCTCAGGTATCTTGTCAGAAAGATCATGTAGAATACAGCATCTTTGAGACATTGCACATCAGAAAATGACTTTTGCTTTCCATACCCTCACTCCTGCACACTTGGCTGCTGTAATATTCCAGCTGAGATGTTTTCTCTCCTGGAAGCTGTCGCCTTATCTTTTAGTTTTCTGTGCCTGTGTGAAGAGTTCAGTGATGTCTGGTTTTTGTCCTTTCATGTGGCATGGCTTTTTTCTCAAAGTGTTTGGGGCTGTGTTCTGGTATTTTAAAATGTCACTGTCATGTGTTTTGGAGTAGGTAGTCTTAGCACGTATCATTCTAGTACGTTATGGGCCCTTTCAGTCCCAAAGCCTGTTCCTAGATTCAGGAAGTACCTGTCTTGGTTCTGTGCTCATCTCTGTCACCGGTCTTGCCCCACTTTTGGGGAGTTCCTGTTGCTCTTGAGCTAACTGCCTTGAGCATTTTCATTTTGAAAATTGGTTCTCCCATTTTGTTTTGAGTTCTGTTATTGCTGTTGGTATCCTTACGGAGAAGTTTTCTAAATTTCATCTTTTAAATTTATATGAATATTTGTATTTTTGTCATTTTTAATTCCTAAAAGTTCTTCATCTTTGTTCCTTCATTCTTCCTTGTTTCTCAGCAGCTTGCTGTGTTCCTGATATTTAGTATTACTATTTTTTTTTAAACTTTCCAAAGAACTTGAAGTATGTGTGTATGTATGTGTATATATGTACAGGTGTGTTTGCATGTGTGCATATGTATGTGTGTGTGCATGTGTGTATGGGTTTAAATGTTCTTCTGTTTCCTTCCTTTTCCTGTCTCATCTGTGTTCCTTTATTACTTCTTTGGTTTAAACACTCACATATCTGAGTCTTTCCCTAAATGTCTCCTCTTTGATAACTGCTCAGATTTAAAAATGAGGCACTAAAAAACTATGAGCAGCACCCTGTCCTTGGGTTGGTATGTCAACAAGGGACCACATATTAGTGTGGGATCACCTCCCAGGATTAGGAGTGCTGGGAAGTTCCTCCCAGCTACTGTAGCCCCCAAGTGGCTCTGATGCTCGGGTAGACTGACTGTGTCCTGGAAGCACAACTAGAGAGGAGAGGGACTCAGGGCGCCTGCTTCTGGACAGCTTGTCCTGAGCCCAGGACTGAGTCCACCCTGCCCTCTCAGAAAGTAGAATTCTTATGCACTGCCTTCGGAGAGGCAGTGGCTGGCTTTGGAGGGCTGAAAGGCCCTGATCTGGGGGTCTGGATATGAATTTTGAAGCAGTTGTCTGCATCTCTGCCTAGTAGATGGTCCCCCAACCCAGCAAAGCTCTGTGTCTTGTCACCCACCCAAATCATGACTGCTGCTGGTATTATGTCTCCCTGTCATACTCGTCATTGTCACCTAACCTATTTTTCTTTGAGAACTTTTTTTTTTTATTGGAGAGGTTTTTGCTATAGGGCGTGTGCGCTTGCCAGAAAGGCAGTAGAGAGACAGAGAGACAGAAAGTGAGAAATCACCCCCCAGGGGGAATAGCCATGCTACAGTCCCTTCTCCTCTCAGGATCTTGGGCACACACGTACACACGCCCAGCATGAGTTCAAGCTGCCGTGTCTGGGACTTGAACTGTGGTTGACTACGTGGGAGTCCAGCAACATAGCCATTATACTAACTGCTGGTCCCATCTGAGAACTTCTTAAAGGGGGGAGCTGTTGGTGCCAAGGCAAGTGAGGGTACCAGGGCATAAAGGTGTTAAAAAGTGGTTTCTGAAAACACTGGTATTGGGGCCACACAGAAATAGATCATAGCCCACTGACCAGTATTCTGCTCACCAGGTCATAAATCTGTATATTTAGAATTCTCATGTTTTGATATAAACATTTGATTTTTTAAATTAAGCTGTGTTATCTGGAAATACTTAATGGTAATTACTTTTTCTTTTCAGGGTTTATCGATGAGACAAATTAGATTCAGGTTTGATGGGCAACCAATTAATGAAACAGACACTCCAGCACAGGTATGACAGCAGCTTTGTATGTGCTCAAGAGCTAGTTCTGATTTGCATTTAATTGTGACTTGTAATACACCTCTTTAAAATTATTGACTGGTGCTCACACAGAATACCTTACTTTTTTTTTTTTTGGAGAGATTTTCACTGTAGGGCGCGTACGCTCGCCAGACAGACAGAGAGAGACATAGAGACAGAAAGCGAGAAATCACCCCCCAGGGGGGATGGTCACGCCGCAATCCCTTCTCCTCCATTCTCCTCTCGGGATCTTCGCCCGGCGTGAGTTTTAAGCCACCAGGTCCAGGACACGAACCGCGGTCGACTAGGTGGGAGTCCAGCGACATAGCCATTACGCTAACTGCCAGTTCCCAAAATACTTTACATTTTTAAAAACAACTTTAGTTGTTAGATTACTTGATTTTAAAATTATGAACTTAAAATTTTTCACATGAGAACACTATACTTTGTGAGACATCATCCTCACTGTTTGGAGGTGGGAGCCTGGGTTCCAGGGCCTGTGCTCATGACCTGGGTCAGGGTCTTTCACAGGAGACATAGTCATCTCAAGACCCCCCAGCCAAGGCCAGGCATGAAAAGCACGAGTCCAGAGCCCTTTCGCCAGCTGTCTGGACACTGAATTTATAATAGCTGCGACTAAATGTTTAGCTTAATCCTTATGCCTTCTAAACATTTTGTACAAATGATGTGAGTGGAAATAACTTACTGTTATGCCTTATCATCAGCCAGCATGATTAGATTTTCTTTCTTTTTTTTAAGAATTATTTATTTCATCATTATTATTATTATTATTTTTAATTTGACCAGGGAGAGAGAGAGGGAGAAAGGGAAAAAGAAAGCAAGCTGCCACACCTGGGACTTGAACTATTGTGGGCCATGTAGGAGTCCAGCACCTTACCACTGCGCCACCTGCTGGCCATGGGTTAATTTTTCTTAGAGCCACACACAGAAATGTGAAAACTGGACACATCATGTTCTAGCCCATGATATGGTGAAGAGTTTGAACTGAAAATATAAATTCTTATTTATTATTATTTTTTTTTGGAGAGGTTTTTGCTATAGGGCGTGTGCACTCGCCAGACAGACAGAGATAGACAGAGAGACAGAAAGCGAGAAATCACCCCCCCAAGGGGGATGGCCACGCCGCAATCCCTTCTCCGTTCTCCTCTCGGGATCTTGGGCACACAATGCGCACATGCCTGGTGTGAGTTTTAAGCCACCGGGTCCCGGACGCGAACAGCGGTCGACTACGTGGGAGTCCAGCGACATAGCCATTACACTAACTGCTGGTCCCAAAATATAAATTCTTTTAACTTAAGTTCAAGTTACAGCTCTTAGCATTTGTCTACTTCAGACCATGTGATCAAGTCCTATAACTTCTTGGAGTCTCAGCTTTGTCTTGTATAAAGGGGAGATAATACTATACCTTCAAGGTTATGAAAAACAGGTGCAGTGTGAAAATATAAAAATATTTTTGCAAAGTATATTTAATTTTCAGTATTTAATAAATATTGAAAATATTTGTGCACTAGGTATTTAATTTCTAGCCACGTTAGGAAATCACTGCTACGACAGCATGGTCAGCTCTGCGAGGACTCTTGAGAGAAGATGGCTACTGTGAACAAAGCATTAGGGGGGAAGTTTTCAAGGAGTTAAGGGTGCTTGGACTAGGAGCTGCAGTATGTCGACAGAGGGTCAGAGAGAACACTGCCTCGGGGGATGGGCACTAGCTTGGTAGTCTCCCTCCAGTCTTTTGGTGGCTATCAGGTGGCATCTATAGCAGAGTAAGAGACATGTTACTGCTTTCAGCCTCAGTGGTCTCTGTGAATTGGCAGAAGCTTTCTTTTGTTCAAAAAGATCAGGGTAGACACTTTTATGTCTGCTATATCACAAGAAGAGAAGCAAACAGGAAACATTTGTACTCTCTCTGCCTTGGTCTTTGATGAGGGGAGGGGAAAAAAGAAGGGAAAAGCCAGCAGAGGATCCCTTCCATCACATATCCCTTCCTTCAGTGAATCCCTTCCTTCATGGATCCCTTCCTTTGTGACCCAGCTGGCCACACCTCAGTCCCTTCTCCTTTAGTCTCTTCTAGGGATTTGGCCATGCATGTACATGTGCCTGGCATGTTTTTTTTTTTTTTTTGAAAGGTTTTTGCTATAGGGTGTGTGCTAGCCAGAAAGACAGAGACAGAGTGAGATATCACCCTCCAGGGGGGATGGTCACACCGCAATCCATTCTCCATTCTCCTCTTGGGATCTTGGACATGGACGTGCATGCACCCGGCATGAGTTTAATTCTCTGGGTCCTGGACTCAAACCACAGTGAACTACATGGGAGTTTAGTGACATAGCCATTACGCTAACTGCTGGTCCCCTGGCATGGTTTTTAAACCACTGGGTCCAGGATGTGAACGGTGAAGTCAGCCATGTGGAATCTAGTGCCTATAACCATTATGCCACCTGCTGGCCTTTTTAAATGTATTTTTTGGACCCTATTTTTCTATCAAAGTCCTTAGCTTTTAATCTTTTGTGAGATTCATTTTGGGAGGCTTACTGACTAAGAAAAGAGCCTTATATATCCACAAGGGGCAGACAGGAGCAAGGTGTGGCAGGTGGTCTCTAGTATAAGGGAAGCAATTCAAGGAAATTGTACTGATGAACATGCTTGCTTCCTCTGATGAAGAGAAAACTAACACACTTCCTTCTCCTCTCCCGCTCACCACATTGGGATGGCTGTGACAGCTGGAGATGGAGGATGAGGACACCATTGACGTCTTCCAGCAGCAGACCGGGGGAGCACGGGAGACCAGCTGCCTGTTGGTACACAGCCCATAGAGGGCTGTCCCCACCCCATGTCATCGTCCTTGCACATGCTGTCGCATAGTGAACACGTGACCATACCAATCGCCAAGGAGTCTACGGCAGCATGAGGACGTTCACAGAAACGATTCTCCTCTTCCATGTACTTCGAGTGCAACTCTAAACTATCTGCAGGGACGAATCCACAACTTAAATTGGGCCAATCAGAATTATTATCTTTGTTCAGGTAACAGGAGTCATGAGGTTTTTTGGGTTTGTTTTGTTTCAGTTTTTGGTTTCCCCTCATTTTCAATATTTTCAAACCTGTGGCCTGAATGTTGGCCTTTAGTTGTGAGTTGCAACTGCCCTCCCACCACCATCCAGTCATGTAGAGTGCTTATGGGCACTGTGGTGGGGGTATCTGTTGGACAAGTGTGGGGGCCTGGTGGGGATAGGAGGCAGAATTTCACTTACTCTTCATTGTTGGCATGTTCTTAACTTGCTGAGTGTTGCAAACTTCAGCTTTGTCAGCATATATTAAAGTTGAAGGGAAAATATTGGGCTGCTTCTAAAAGGTGGAAAACAC